TGAGGTAGTAGTAATCCCGATATATGAGTCATGTTGACGTGTACAGCCGTCAAAGGGGCAATTAAATTTATATATTATGTAATTACGCTTTAACACAGAGTTATCTCTAGGACTACAGTTGTTTTTCAGTATTAGGTGAGACGTCTTTTTATTGTTGTAATAGATTCGGAGTTTAACTTTACTATTTGGGTTGGTTGGTGTGACATTTTTACTGATGATATGTTTAAGAATAGCTTCATCTACTTTGTATGCAGTTGACATGTGATTTCTGTAATACAAAATGATGTCGGTATCTTGATTGTTGGTACTAGAAAGGTTATTGCTGTGTAGTCTATCGATGAAGAAAAGGAGACCAAAGAACACGACCAGCCAATAAAGAAACCTGAAATCAAATTTCTATCAAAGTTCATTTTTACAACGTCAATTTCCATCTAAGTTCTTTTTGACAAAGTCAATATTTCCCTATATAACAACAAGATGCACTGATGATGATTCATTCGGAATCGAAATATGGCCTTATTTGCATCATGAATTCCAAAAATAAGTTTATTTTGAATTTTAATAAACTAAACGTCCACCAAAAAACTTTAGTGAGAAAAATCTAAAAAACGAACTACAAACATATTAACGCCAAACATTCGGTAGAATTTATAGAATATTGTAAAAATTATGGTCTATTACCAACATATATAAATAAATATATATATATATATATATATATATATATATATATATAAATAATATTTTGAATATTTTGGCGTTGCACGTTGATTTTGGCGTTGAAGTTGGTGTTAATAGCGTTACATGCTGTTTTTGTGATTATGTTCCGCCTGCAGAAAGTGTATCTAAAGACATTCTGCCTGCCATGAACAACTGTAGAAATCTCAGATACATTTGCGATGGTTGCCTCAGGTCTTTCGATGGTTTGAAAACATTGACCAAACCAATTCTGGATAAAAATGATGAAATAGAATTAGAAATTAAAAATATTTCTGAACATACAACCGCGTTATGTAAAGATTTTTGCGAACTAAAGCAATTGGTAGTGGCAAATGGTGATAGGTTGAACCAGATCAACAGCGTCGACAATAAATCATTTGACAATTTCAAGCAGCAGATGAATGAATCTTGGACTGGTATAGTCAAACAGGGTATTAAAAATATTTCTGAACATACAACCGCGTTATGTAAAGATTTTTGCGAACTAAAGCAATTGGTAGTGGCAAATGGTGATAGGTTGAACCAGATCAACAGCGTCGACAATAAATCATTTGACAATTTCAAGCAGCAGATGAATGAATCTTGGACTGGTATAGTCAAACAGGGTATCGATGCGGTTAAAAATGACGTCAAGGTTGTGCAGCGTACCCTCGAAATGGTGAATACTATCAAAGAGAGAGAAAACAACGTCATTATTTTAAACTTAATTGAATTTAATAGAAAGGACAATGATTCAGTTTCTGCTATTTTGCGCTCTCTCACTGATAACTTTATCAAGGATGATAATATTTTAAGAGTCACCAGACAAGGGAGGAAAATTGGTGATTCCAAAACTCCACGTCCAGTTATTGTTAAATTCGCCAGTTTTGTCATCAAAAACAGAGTCATGCGTAGTATTTCGAAAATTAAGTCTCTCGAGGGTGAATTCAACAAAATCAAAATCAGTCATGATCTAACACGTGATCAGCGCGTTGAGCTGCGAGAATTGATTGCTGAAGCTAAAACTAAAGAAGCTAATGATGGCCATTTTTTATACAGAGTGAGGGGCCAAGTGGGACGCTGGAAAATAGTAAAGCTTCAAAAAACTGCGATCATCTAGTATTAAATTTTGGTCTTCTTAATATAAGGTCTGTTATAGCAAAGTTTAATGTTGTTTATCAATTGTTATCTGGTGGATTGGACATTTTCCTTTTGTGTGAAACGTGGCATGGTTCTCCTGAAGATCCGTCTATTCAGTTGGCTATGCCGCCAGGTTTTAGTTTCTTACAAGTGTTGAGGCCTCATGATCCTTACCATGGTGGTCTTATTGTTTTTTTCAAGAAGATGTTCAAGGCCAGGAAAATTGAAGTTCCGGTTTTTCAGACCTTCGAGGCTATTATAGTTGAATTTTCTTTTAAGCGTCGCAAAGTTTTTGTTTTTGGTATTTACAGACCAGGTTCAAAATTGGTCACATCTTTGTTTTTTGGTGAGCTGACATCGGTGTTGGAACATTTATTTGCATTAGGTGATGGTTTGATAGTGGCTGGGGATTTTAACATTCATATTGAAAGGCCTGGTGATACACACTCAATTAATTTGCTTGAAATATTTGATTCGTTTCAGTTAACAAACGTGGTTAATGAGCCTACCCATAACTTGGGTGGCACACTTGATTTAGTTGCGTCCACTCCTGATATTCCTTTGTTTAATTGTAGAGTGGATCCCAGTGGTGCTTATTCAGATCATGGTCTGATTAATGTTTCATTCTCGGTCAGTGTCAGGCTACCATTGACAACAAGGCGGTTGGTACGCTCTTGGAACCGTTTGGATACACATCGTTTTAAAACACTAATTTTAAACTCTCCAATCAGTGGTCCGTTTGATAGTGATGACGTGGATGATGCATTTGTGTTGTTTGATCGTGAGATGAGGAGGGTTGTTGATGAAGTGGCTCCACTACACTATGTCAACTCTAAACATGTGCCATTAGCCCCTTGGTTCGACAGAGAGTGCAGGGATTTGAAAAGGTTATGTCGCAGATTAGAACGGGTTTATCGAAACAACCCAGGTGATAAAAATAAGAATATCTGGCGACAAGCTATTAAAGATAAATATTGCTTGTTTGTCAAAAAGAAAAATTGTTATTGGAAAGACTTGGTGGAATCAAATAGCAACAAACCAAAACGTCTTTGGAATGCCGTTAACGGTTTGCTTGGAGTGGAACAGGTAACGGATGTATCAGAAGTTGATCATAGTTCTCTTGACTTTTCCAAGTTTTTCAAAAGCAAAATTGATGATGTTCGTAATTTAACCAATCATTGTGATGAACCAACATTCACTCCATGTGATCTTGATGAAGAATCTTTTTTTTCAAACTTCTCGCCCTGTACATAAAAAAAGTCAATTTAGAGTCTCCATCAAAATCTTGTTTTCTTGATTGTGTGCCCACAAAAATTTTTAAAAGATTTGTTGATTTGTTTTTAACGTTTTTCATAAATTTGTGTTTGAGTTCTGGCTCATTTCCATCTTCGTTTAAAAATGTTGCTGTTACACCGATTTTGAAGAAGAATTCTCTTGATAGACATGAGTTAAAAAATTACCGACCTGTATCTAACTTTATGTTTTTGTCAAAGTTGGTTGAAAGAATCGTTTTATCACAATTTGCTTTTCATTTGAATCTTCTTCTGCACAATCTTCTGCTGGTTCACCAGTCGGGTTATCGTGTGTTTCACTCGACGGAAACAGCTTTAATTGATGTTTCGTCAAGGTTGTATTCATCAATGGACGAACAAAATGTGTCATTGCTTGCTCTTTTGGACATGAGCTCGGCGATCGATTGCGTCGATCATGCAATACTTCTCAAAAAACTGAAGCAAACATTTGGACTATCGGGAGTGGTTCATGTCGTACCTTGCTGGTCGTACCAACAAATTTTATTCAAAACAAATTTGGCAGCTCTCGATGCTTTGTCGTACGGTGTACCACAGGGTTCCGTCTTAGGTCCCATTCTCTTTTTGCTTTATACAGCAGATGTCTACACAATAATTGAGTCGTACAATTTCAGGTTTCATGCATTTGCTGACGACATCCAAATAATAACCAACTCCTCTCCCTCGTCGTTTGGTGATGTGGTCGATGATTTAGTATCGTGTTTATCAGCCATTGATGTTTGGATGATGGGGCACAGATTAAAGTTGAACCAATGCAAGACCCAGTTTTTGCCTGTGGGTACATGGCAACAAGTGAATAGAGTGGGTATCAACACTATCAGAATAAAGGAATCTGTCATCGAATTTTGTTTGTCAGCACGAAATCATGGATTTATTTTTGATACAAACATGACAATGCAATTGCATATAAAGTTGTTGTTTAAAGAATGTACTTACCAATTGAGAAAATTGAGACTCATCAAAGGATCTCTAAATAAGCATACATTGCAATGTTTAATTCACTCGTTCATTCACTCGAAGATCGATTATTGCAACAGTTTATTCTACTGTTTACCTAAAAAGTATGTTGCAGTTACAATTAATTCAAAATCGGGCTGCCAAGTTGTTAACTGGTGGTTCATGTTTTGATCATGTTACTCCTATTCTCTTCAATCTTCATTGGTTGCCCGTTCAACAAAGAATTGTCTTTAAAATTGCCCTACTGGTGTATAAAACCATTAATGAATTAGCGCCGAAATATTTAATGGATCGAATTGTTTCAAGAAATGCACCGTTGCAGTGTCAGAAGTTACGGTCAAACGATTTAGATTTGTTAACAATTCGACAAACTCAGCTTGCTGTTGGTTGCAGAGATTTCGCTGTTATGGGACCGAAGATTTGGAACAGTTTGCCGGTTGACTTGCGAAATCGTGGGTTGTCAATTACTAAATTTCGAAGAAAGCTAAAGAACCATCTTTTCAGACAAACTTTTCATGATATGATTTGATTGAAGTGAAACATTTAATCAACTTTTGCATTGTTAGCACCTTTGAGAACAATAACGGGCGCTTTATATATAAATAATCTAATAATAATGATAATATATATATATATATATATATATATATATATATATATATAATTTTATATATCAAAAATTTTGTGACGCCAGCCCAGGTTAATCATTGTCTTCATAAATTTAAAAACATAAATAAATAAATGGATAAAACCAATCATTATATATATAAATATGTAGAAAATATATAATATACAATATAAGTAGAAAATAAATGAAATTACATCACATTACAAAGCTGAAATCTCTAAACTAAAATAATGCTTTTAAATAAAACAAACACGAGACACCTTACGTTACACCATGTATTAACTAACTCCCTCCAAAAACGAAAACTGATCGCGGCTAACTAAATTTTAAATTTAAACGGCTCAGTACGAAGGTAGTAAATATTTCTAACGAAATCAACATTAGAAGATGAAACGAATATATATATATATATATATATATATATTCAATTTTTCTCATTAAAGTTTTTTGGTGGACGTTTAGTTTATTAAAATTCAAAATAAACTTATTTTCCGAATTCATGCTGCAAATAAGTCCATATTTCGATTCCGAATGAACCAATCATCAGTGCTTTCTGCTGTTTATATATAAATAGGTATAAATATTTCTATTTATATTAATTATATATATATATATTTATATGTTGGTAATAGGCCATAATTTTTACAATATTCTATAAATTTTTTCGAATGTTTGGCGTTAATATGTTTGTAGTTTGTTTTTTCAATTTTTCTCACTAAAGTTTTTTGGTGGACGTTTAGTTTATTAAAATTCAAAATAAACTTGTTTTCCGAATTCATGCTGCAAATAAGGCCATATTTCGATTCCGAATGAATCATCATCAGTGCTTTCTGCGGTTTATATATAAATAGGTATAAATATTTATATTTATATTATTTTTTTTAAAATTAAGATCTGACAGACGCAGAAACTGTTACAGCATGCAAGGCAGTAGTACAAAATTAAACAATTAAGTAAATAAATAAATAAAAATACGGGGAAAGAAAAATGTTTTAACATGAAAAATAAAATAGAATAAAATAAATAATAAATGATAAAAATAAAATAAATAAAACAAAATAAAACAAATTGGCAATAAAATTAAGTAATGGGATATGGACTGCATCTTCGTGAGCGAAGAACTGGGTCATTGATGTGACTTCATGTGGGCAAAAAGTCCAATTCTAGACAAACATCGACGATCACAGATTCCACAGACCCACTTTATTTTGCCGCTTCCATCCTGGGCCACCTGTTTTCGCCGTTTTCTTTTGTCAACCAGAGCTGTGATTCGTGCCTGTTCAAAGGCAGAAACCGCCACCTGTGAGTTCCATCTCCATTCTGTACGCTGCTGGGCTTTAGTGCATAATGTTTTTGGGTCAATCCACACTTCTTCAAGTTTTCCTTCAGACCGTCTTTATATCTACGAACCGGGCCACTTGCAAGACGAGCACCAGAGGCCAGCTGTCCAAAGAAGACCTGTTTTGGAATTCTTGCATCCGGCATGCGGACCAGCAAAACTGGGCCTGGAGTAGCATTGCCTCGATACCCATTGTACCACATCTCTCCAATACCATGACATTTGACACTCTATCTTCCCATTTGATGTGAGCAATAGCTTAAAGACATTTTATATGGAATTGATCGAGCTTTCGTATGTGGTGTTGATAAGACGTCCATGTTTCACAACTAAATAGCGGAGTAGTCAGTACAACTGCTTTGTAAGCTGCAATTTTGGTAGCCAGAGACAATCCATGCTCCTTCCAGAGACGTCTACTTAATCCCCCAAATGCAGCACCATCCTTTGCGAGCCTGGCTTTAATATCACTATCAATGGCAGTTGTATTTGAGATGTAGCTGCCAAGATAACAAAATCTATTGACAGCATTCAACTGCAAACCGTCTGCTGATACAGTGGCCGCTGAATCAGATCAGATTGGGTAGCTTTGATGTAAGGCCTCTGTTTTCTTTAAACTCTTTGTGAGTCCAAATCTTTTAGCTGCCGCGTGAAAACGATTGAAAAGAGATTGAACTTCATTCTATGAATGTGCAACCAGAGCACAATCGTCGGCAAAAAGGAGGTCGCGAACAATGAACATCTTTGTCTTTGACTTTGCTTGTAGACGTCTGATGTTGAAGACATTTCCATCCAGGCGATAGCATATTGGTATGCCTTAGCAACAGTTTTGAAAAGCAATCTTCAGCATCAGGGAAAAGTAAATGTTAAACAACAACGGGGCCATGACGCATCTCTGCTTGGTACCATTACCAACCTCAAATTCCGGAGAATGTTCTCCATTTTCAATCACGCCTGCACTCACACCGTCGTGGAAGGAGTGAACAATGGAGACAAAAACCGGTGGACAACCAAATCTTTACCAGACAGTTCCAGAGAGCTGAACGTTTCACAGAGTCGAATGCCTTTGTTAGATCGACAAAGACAAAATAGAGATCATGCTGCTGCTCTCGACATTTTTTCTGTAACTGTCTAGCAGTAAAGATCATATCGCTTGTACCACGCCCAGCCCGAAAACCACCTTGACCCTCCGGAAGGATACCAATATCATTGACGTGCTTAGTCAGACGATTGACAATCACTTGAGCCAGTATTGCCGGAAATTGAGAGCTAGTAAATCTCCCAATGGTCATCACAACACGAACGATTGCCCTTTCTTTTAAACAAATGGACGATGAGAGCGTTTTTAAAATCTTGATAGACTGTCTGTCTTTTCCACATCTGACAAAACAATGCCACTATCCTGATCCTGAGGTTCGGTCCACCGTATTTGAACAACTCTGCCGGGAGACCTGTGAAATGGCTTTTTCCACCTCAGACAAACTGGGAGGGACATTAAGGCTGTTTACCACATCCCAATCAGGCAATTCAGCAAGCACTGTATCGTCAAAAAAGGACTTTTGGTTTAGCACACCACTGAAGTGCTCAGCCCAGCGGGCCAGAATATCAGGGCCATCTCTGATGAGTGTTTGACCGTCACATGAACGCAGAGGAACACTGCCTGATTCACGCGGACCAAACACCTTTTTTAAATTTTTGTAAAAAGATTTCATATCTTTGCCATTGGCCGCTGCCTGTGGTTCATCAGCCTTGGCAGACCACCATAATTCCTTCATTTGGCAAAGTCTCCTCTGTGCTGTGCTGCGCGCCTGTGCATATTGAGTCATTTTTACGCTACTATTTTTGTCGTTAATCCAGGCAAGATGAGTTTTGTGCATTTCATCCAAAAGCCATCGAGCCTCCGCATCCTGCTCATCAAACCAGTCTTTA